CTTCACGCAAGGGGCTTCATTTTTACAGATTCATTGGAAGCTGGAGATGGTAATAACAACAATACCTTCAGAGACTGTTTCAATAAGCAGCCGTGCGACCCTCAGAAAGACTGTTCAAGTATATACAGTCGGACTGCAGAGTGACATGGCAAGACTCCGAAGCCTCACTTACAGGAATTCTGACTGGTGTAGAAAAAATTCCCTGCCAGACAGTGTGTCTGCGCTGTTTGCAGTGGAAGCATAAATATCTAATTTGCCTTGTTACAGAGAAGAATGCATGATCTATGCAGCATGTAGCCGAATAATCATTCCATCAGGCTGAAAATGTAGGGAACATAATTAATTTGCTGGTTTGCCCTAATCCTTATTCTCAGATGGTAAAACAGAAACCTCTACTTTCATATTTCATTTAGTCATATTTCATTTCTTAGAAGTTAAAAAAAAGCACCGTTTTGCCCGAAGATCAAAAATAAAAAACCGCTAATAGGATAAGTCCATACACCCTAAATTAGGAGAGCTCAAACACACCCAGTAATAAATTTCTAAAAGTTTGTTTTTCCCTCAGCGTTTCTGTAGCCTATAGGTTTTTTTTTTCTTTCTCATCTCTGTTTAAGTGTTGTATCATCAAGGTCAGCGCATCTGAGATGATAAATATGTCTCCTGGGAGCAGGGTAGGGCCAGATCAACTGTGCATATTAGCATGGCATCACAGAAGTTCCCCTGTTCATTCTCCTCTTGAAGAAAAAACGAGGGTAAGCAGCAGCCTCAAACGAAAGTCCAATTTTTGTCTTTAAACGAAATTGACTTGATGTTATTTACATTAGAGCCTGATGTGTTCTTTTTCAAATCTGCCCGCCTTTCATTTTTGAGCTGGTGTTTCTTTGCCGGCCAACCGCCATTCTGTGTTAGACGGTTCAGTTTCCTGGTGCATTCGTAATAAACAAAAGCAAATACATTTTTATGAAACCATAAAGATGATCAAGTGTGCACTCCTCTCTAGCATGCTCGTGTGCAGCATAATTGTTTAATACTGTTTTCTCTCCACATTAAGTCAACTTGAGAGACTATTGATTGTACCAAGCACCGTTTCTTAATGCTGTAATTTTCCAGGCCTGGGTCTCCAGGGACCCTCGTCAGGTGCATAATTGTGTGTGTTGCTGCTGTCTGCTGCATGCCCGGTGACTGTAGCGACTCTGTGAGAGAATAGTGCTTTTCATGGTGCCAAAGGGCCTGCTGCCCTGGCCCAAAGGCCAGAACAGAGGGCATCTGAAGGTATAAGAATTTTTAGGGGCCATATTCAGAAAAGGCCAGAATGCTGTTCCATACGAGATTATAATTTTGCCTTCATTTATAGACGTGTGCCACAATCATCATATTAGGTGCTTTCATTTGTATGGTACTTTATTTATTTATTTGTTTATTTTTTGACAGGCAAAGTTAGAGAGAGGGAGACAGAGAGAAAGGTCTTCTTTCCGTTGGTTCACCCCCCAAATAGCCACTACGGCTGGCATGCTGCACCGCGCTGATCCAAAGCCAGGAGCCAGGTGCTTTCTCCTGGTCTCCCATGGGGTGCAGGGCCCAAGCACTTGGCCATCCTCCACTGCCTTCCTGGGCCACAGCAGAGAGCTGGACTGGAAGAGGAGCAACAGGGATAGAACCGGCGCCCCGATCGGGACTAGAACCCAGAATGCCGGCACCGCAGGTGGAAGATTAGCCTAGTGAGCCACGGTGCCAGCCTTGTATGATACTTTATCCAAAACACTTCACACACGTGACATCTCCCCACCAAGCCCTGTTCTCTCAAACATGCTGTTTAGCTTCTTCAAGCCTCTGTTTTCTGATCTGTGAAAATGGGTTCAAGTTGCAAATTATCATGTTGACTTCTGAGAACTGAGAGGGTGGAATGATAGAGCACAGTCATGGTAGGAATTTTTCTTTCACCAGAATAAAGTTATCTCAACCAATTAGCTAATTTTAAAGACAATGCAGTGGGGATTGGCATTGTGGCATAGCAAGTAAAGCCACTCTCTGCAACACCAGCATCCTATATGAGTGCCGGTTTGTCTCCCGGCTGCTCCACTTTCCATCCTGCTCCCTGCTAATGCACCTGGGAAAACAGAAGAAGATGGCCCAAGTGCTTGGGCCCCAGCATCCATGTGGGAGACCTGGAAGAAGCTCCTGGCTTTGACCTAGCTGAGCCCTGGTCACTGGGGCCATCTGGGGAGTGAACCAGCACTTTCTCTCTGTGTCTCTGCCTCTCTCTAACTCTGCCTTTAAAATAAATAAATCTTTAGAACAAAAATAAAGAGACTGCTGTGGTAGGTACTGAGCCTGAGAGGGGAGTCCAGTTTCGTGTGAGGGATGGATTCTGGCATTCGGGTTTGCAGTTCCTGCTGAAAACCAAGTGGAAATGAGACTGGAAGACTTGGGTGCTGTGCGGAGGGAGACGAGGAGATGGCCCTAACTTCACCTATTTTCTAATAGGTTCTGATCAAAGTATTCTTGGTTGCTTTAAATCTAAAATTGACACAAAATGGTTTCAACCTGACCAAATGTCTGAAATGGGTTCTGTTTTGCTAGACTAGGGCCTGAGGTGCTCATGGGCCCTTAGGTGGCCTGGAGTCTCCCAGATTTTAATGTCTTGCACAGGTTTCTCCCGTGACTGTGGAGCTGGGTAGCTGGAAGGTCATTTTTTTTGCACTTGTTTCTTTCTTTATTTTTTTAATTAATTTATTTTGTGAAAGAGTTACACAGAGAGAAGGAGAGGCAGAGAGAGAGGTCTTCCATCCACAGATTCACTCCCCTAATTGGCTGCAATGGCTGGAGCTGGGCTGATATGGCTCTGAAGCCAGGAGCCAGGAGCTTCTTCCAGGTCTCCCATGCGGGTGCAGAAGCCCGAGGACTTGGGCCATCTTCTACTGCTTTCCCAAGCCAAAGCAGAAGCTGGATCAGAAGTGGAGCATCCAGGATTCGAACAGTGCCCATATGGGATACTGGCACTGGAGGCGGCGGATTTACTCACTATGCTACAGTGCCAGCCCTGCTTGCACTTGTTTCACAGTTTCTTCTCATAGGACAACATCCTAACTACTGGAAGCATGCAGATGGGAGCCGGTCTTGTCACGCAGCGGATTAAGCCGCATCTTACGATGCTGGGATTCCCGTGTTGTCTCATCAGAGTGCTGGTTCCAATTCCACTCCTCAGTTTGTGATCTGGTCCCTGCTAAAGCGCTTGGGAAAGCAGCAGATAATGGCTCAAGTGTCCGGCCACTGCCACTCATGTGGGAGGCCAAGATGTAGTTCCTGGCTCCTGACTCCAGCCTGGCCCAGATGTGGCTGTGCCATATGGGGAGTGAACCAGCAGATAGAAGACCTCTGTGGGTCCCTGTTTCTCTCCTACTCTCTCTTTTTTTTTTTTTTTTCCTTTTGACAGGCAGAGTGGACAGTGAGAGAGAGAGAGACAGAGAGAAAGGTCTTCCTTTGCCATTGGTTCACCCTCCAGTGGCCGTCGCGGCCGGCGTGCTGCGGCCGGTGCACTGCACTGATCTGATGGCAGGAGCCAGGTACTTATCCTGGTCTCCCATGGGGTGCAGGGCCCAAGAACTTGGGCCATCCTCCACTGCACTCCTGGGCCATAGCAGAGAGCTGGCCTGGAAGAGGGGCAAGTGGGACAGAATCCAGCGCTCCAACCGGGACTAGAACCCAGTGTGCTGGCGCCGCAAGGCAGAGGATTAGCCTAGTGAGCCACGGCGCTGGCCCCTACTCTGTCTTTCAAATAAACTAAATAAACCTTTTAAAAAGACAGAAGAAACTGTACAGATCTTCAAGTTTGTCCTCAGTGATAAAGAACAAAGTCCATACAGATTTTCAGTGATGGCAGTATTAAAAATGTCCTTGTTTACTGAGCTCATCTTTTCACAGAGTAAATGTCTCCTTTCTAGTAATTCCTTTTTTAAAAATTCTGAAAGCTTTATAACATTTTTATCAGAAGAGACTTTTTTTTCCTCCTGTGAACCTGTGTTCTCAACATTCCAGAAAACTTGAATTCTCTCTTAACACCAAGGCCGAGCATCCGTGTTGACACACAGTTCTTTCATTTCACCTCATTTATAAAGGAGCAGTTTATTCTTCACTTAATTCCTGGCCTCTTTTTAGAGAGCAAGGTTAACCTCAACAAAGTACAGTACATCAGATCTACTATCTGTGATATTAGAGAAGAGAGTGAAATAAGGTGCTTTTTGTATTAGAAAAATCATGAAGATTGTCTTATCTAACCACTTTGCAGTGCAGAGCAACTAAGTTTCTGCCTGAAATCTGAAGATTGGTTTGTGCCAGATCCCCTAGTTTGGTACAATGTGGTACCATCACCAGATGAATGGTGATATTTCCTAAAGGTGTTGGTGGACTAGCACATAGCAGTCTTTATTGAAATAAATGCCTGCAAAAACTGGCTTGGAGTTTGTACACTTCTGAACTGCTCATATCCAGTGTTACATCTTTGTCCTGTCCTTAGTGGGTGAGGACCGTGTGTAAGACAGCTGCCTTGTGAGAGAAGACATCATTAGGTTGTTACGGGGACGAAGCACCTGTCTGATGTCCAACATATACTCTCTGGGTCTTAGGGTCCCCCACTCCCAGTTCTGACATTAGAATAACACATCTACTTTGTCCCATTAACATCTTCATAAAGTATCACTCTTCCATAAAAATTACTTTAAAAAAATGGGGTTCATGTTCTTGTGCCCAGCAGGAAGAGGTGTTTATGAGTTCTGGCCCTAACTTTTTTAATTGCTCCTACAAATGCCAGGTATATGTACAAATATAAATAAATATACAGATATCCAGCTGGATCCAGTTGCCTTCATGCTTAATGTTACACATTCTGGAGTGAGGAGGGAAATACATAGAATTGTTTCTAGACCCTCTAGTGTTATTCGTGAGATGGACGCATCCCACTCTAAGAGATTGTTGAACTTGCCTTCTATCTATGGTTCCTTCAGGCCTGCAACCCAAGTACACCTTCTGCACGCCCCTGTGTTTTCCATCATCTGATCCAGGCCCAATTCTGCGGTTTTGGAAGCCTGCAGGTGTCTGTGGTCCATCAGCAGCAGTGAGCAAAGGCAAGCACAGCAGGGGATTCACTGGGGGAACATCCATACACTAGAACTCTGTCCAGCGCGTAGTTTTCTACTGTGACGGTATCATAAGGTTCAGGTGACAACCAACTCGAGTTTTTAATTACATGAGGTTGTTTGATTCTGATGTTTAATGACATAGAGAAAAACTGACTGCATGCAGTACACAAGGTGGAAGCTTGGAGAGCTTGGGTCCTCAGCTTTATAATGCAGTCATATGTCACTTAACAATGGGGATATGTTCTGAGCAATGCATCGTTAGGTGGTTTCAATATTGTGCAAACATCATAGAATAAATTTATACAACCTAAGGTGACTATGATATTACTAGGTGATATAATCCTGGGGGATCACTGCCATACATGCATAAACTCTTAGAAATAATTTTAACCTAGGGTCATGTGATAAGTTGCACTATCTAAGTCATTTAACTTTCTTACCATATTGACAGAGAGACTGTGATGGGGGTTGGTGGGAGCTGTGACGTTAGGTGCTGAGCTGGACTCCTTGGAAGATCTGATCTGCACAGGGAGGCTTAAAGGTGAAAGTAATGAGAAAAGGGCCCAGCATTGTGATACAGGGTGTTAAGCTACTGCCTACAAGACAGGCATTCAAAATGGGAGCCAGTATGTGTCCCAGCTGCTCCACTTCTGATCCAGCTCCCTGCTAATGCACCTGGGGAAGCAGCAGAAGATGGCCCAAGTGCTTGGGTCCCTGACAGCCAGCCACATGGGAGACCTGGATGGAGTTCCTGGCTTTGGCCTGGCCCAGCCCTGGCCGTTGCAACCATCTGCGGAATGAACCAGTGGATGGAAGGTGTCTCTGTCTCTCCCTCTCTCTCTGTAACTCTGCCTTTCAAATTAACTGATTAATTTAAAAGAGAGAGAGAATGAAACAGCAAGAGAGAGGGGAAGAAAATAAGGAGAATAACAAAGGTGGCTTATGGTTGTTTTTCCGTTGTCAGTGATGTTGGCCTTGAGATCCTGGAGAGTGGTCCATCCAAGCTGCCTAACTGGAGCCCTGCCACCAAGACCACCCTCTCTCCTTTGGTCATGGGGGACTCCAGCTCTGCTTTGTCTTGAGAAGGAGCTAACCTTGGGTTGGTTTGTGGAAAGAATGATTGATAAACCCTTCCATTTGATGTAAAATATTCTGTGGAGGCAAAATTAATGTTTTTACTACTTCATGAGCCAACGTGAGGAAGAAGGTAGAAAAGAAAAACCTGTATAATCTTTTGCAACAAGCTATAAAATGATGTATTTAGTCCTTAATAATTAAACAAAAGCATTTTTATTCATATGATGTTACAATCATACTGTTTATACAGCTTAATGCTTACTTTTTAACTAATTCGTTTTCTCATTTGTGCCAATCTAGAAAGGTTTATTAAATCTAATGACTGTTTTAGGATTAAATAGGGGGAAAGCATGTTCTAATTACAGGGATGGATAAAAGCAAACCAATTAACCAAAAACGTGTATTTCCTTCCTCATCGATGTCTGGTCAGCCATGTCCGAGGTGAACCTGGGTTACCTAGCTCCTGAGTTTTTAATCATGTTTTTTTGATTGCGTTTTTTGCACCATCTGTACCATTAACATGACTGTAATTTCTGTCACAGTTGGAAGCTTCAGTTAATAAATGTTTTGTTTGGGGGCGGGGGGAGGGCTAGGCGGACAGACAAGAAGGTGGGCGTGTTTCCGAGTGAACCAGAGTAGCCATGTCTTACCTAGGAGGCCACAGAGGGAAAGCCCTGGACTTGCATGGTTGTGGAGCCCTTCCCTGCTCAACTGCATCTACATGGTCAGCTCCATTTCCCTCAAAAAATAATCTGAATTCATCCTTTTTAAGAAAAAAAATCCAACCTAGCAGAAAATATTAAGAACACTATTTAAAAATCTAAATAAACTTGTTCGAATGCAACAGAGTATACAGAGAAGAATTTATGATTATTTTGCAAAAATTCAGAAACATTTGTTTTTGAATGTGCCTGAACAAAGCACAGAGTTACAATTTGGTAGTTTAGACTTCCAAATAAATTGCTGTTTTATCCTGTTTTTTTTTTTAAATTTGTTGCAGGTTTTCTGAGTATGTTTTTCTTTTCTTTTTACCAGTACAATTGCTGTGGGCTTTTTAGAAGCTTGCTGATTATGTTTTCAAAATTGAAGAAAATGATTGGTGTTCGAAAGCATCTGATTGTACTGTCAGAGAGTGGCAGTGCATTGACTGAAATGCCCACAGGAATAGATCAGGAAAATCTGGAGGAAGGAGAGGACGCAAGACAATGGAAGCTGCAGACTTATTGCCCAGAAATCTCTTCCATTTGGAAAGATTACTGTTGAGATGGGAGTTTGGCGTATCGGTTAACACCCTACTGGGGACTCCCGCATCCTAGCTCGGAATGCCTGGATTTTAGTCAGCTCCACCCCTGACTCTAGCTGCCTACTGATACATACCTGGGAGGTAGCAGAAACAGCTCAGGTATCTGCCACCCATGCGAGAGACCTGGACTGGGTTCCCAGCTCCTGGCTTTGATGAACTTTTGGGGTTGGAGAGATGAACTGGCAGATTAGAGATATTGCTCTTTCTTTCTCTCAAAGTGTGTCTCTCTCTGAGCCTTTCAAATAAACAGAATTAGAGGTAGGTGTTTGGTGCAGCAGTTATAAACCATTTAGGTTGCCTGCATTCTATTTTTGTAGTGCCTGAGTTCAAGTCCCGGCCCTGCTTCCAGTTCCAGCTTCCTGGTAATGTACACCCTGGGAGGCAGCAGGTGATGGTCAAGTACCTGTGTCCCACAAGGGAGACCCAGAATGAGTACACGTTCCTAACTTCAGCCTGGCCTAGTCCCAGCTGATGCCAGATCTCTTTCCCTCTCTGTCCCTCTACCTTTCAAGTAAATAAAGATATTGAAAAACAATAAGAGATTGGGGATGGTACTGTGGCTAGTGGGCTAAGCCCCCACCTGCAGCGCTGGCATCCCATATGAGTGCCGGTTCTAGTCCTGGCTACTCTTCCTCGTATCCAGCTCTCTGCAGTTGCCTGGGAAAGCAGTAGAAGATGGCCCAAGTCCTTGGGCCCCTGCTCCCATGTGGGAAACATGGAAGAAGCACCTGGCTCCTGGCTTTAGATTGGTGCAGCTCCAGCCATTGCAGCCATCTGGGGAGTGAGCCAGCGGGTAGAAGACCTTTCTCTCTGTCTCTCCCTCTCTCTCTCTGTAACTCTGCCTCTCAAATAAATAATATATTTTAAAAATTTTTAAAAATAAATGATCGATAATATATGTTAAAAAGATTACCATTCATGATTAAAACATTAGAACGCTATGAAGTATGGGCCTGGCATTGTGGCATAGTGGGTAAAACTGTCCCCTGCAATGCCAGCATCCCATATGGGATCCAGTTTAAGACTTGGCTGCTCCACTTCCAATCCAGTTCCCTTCTAATGGCCTGGGAAAATCAGGGGAAAATGGCCTGAGTGCTTGGGACCCTGCTACTCACGTGGGACACCTGGAAGAATTTACTGGCCTGGCTCCTGGCCTCAGCCTGACCCAGCCCTGGCCATTGTGGCCATCTGCAGAATGAACCAGCAGATGGAAGATCTCCCTCTCTTTCACTCTCTCTCTGTAACTCTGACTTTATAAATCTTAAAAAAAAAAAATAGAAAAGAACTCTATGAAATAAAGACAATGTTTACCTAAGCACTAGAATCCCAGGATGAAGTTTTATATCTTGGAGTATAAGAGACTTTGGCTTTAGTTTGGTGGAGGGCATATCAGATGCCTGCTAGGTGCATAGGGATACAAATGCTTCTAAGATAGCAGCCTGCTTCGGAGAGCTTACAGTGTCGGGGACTCAGAGCTACAGCAACACAGGAAATATAGCATTTACTCAGAAAAGCTTTTTTTTTAAGTGAGAACTTATACAATACAATTATTTTGATAGTAGATGATCGAAAAATCTTACAGAAAATGCTTATTATGAACAAAACTGCATGGATTTCAAAATTTCTTGGTACCAAAATAAAATTATGTGTTAACTTCATTTTTGCACATAGGTTTTTTTTTTTTTTTTTTTTTTGAACTGTGAATTCTGGGACTTGCCTGGCAGCAGTAATGTGTGCAGTAGCAGGTTGACATGTACTAGGGATACATCCTAAAGCCTTTGCACAGTCAGCCTTGTAACGTAGAGTTGCACCTAGAAAGTACACAGGTAATTGAGGGGATGGACATTTAGCCTGATGGTTTAGATGCCAGTTAGGATTCTCACCTCCCACTTCGGAGTGCCTGGGTTTGATGCCTGGCTCCAGCTCACAGTTCCAGCCTCCTGCTGATGTCGACCCTGGGAGGCAGTAGGAGATAGTTCAAGTATTTGATTGCCTGCTACTCACTTGGGAGACCTGAATCGAACTCCCAATCTTCCAGCTTTGACACCTGCCTACCCCCAACCTGGCCCTATACCTGTGGGCATCTGGGGAGCAAACCAGCACTTGGGAGCTCTCTGTCTCTCTCTCTCAAATAAATTTTTGGACGTAATAAAATGTGGTGTGATACCTTCAGACATTTCTGAAGTCACCAGTGAGCACTGGCCATAAGCCCTGGGCAGGTGCAAACACTGAGAGGTTGGCTGAGTTCGCTCATGAAGTGAGTGCATCTCATCTGTCAATCTGGATGGAGTCTGGGACTTCCAAATGTAGTGCATCAACAAAATAAATCAGTGTATGTCCTACATATCCCCTGTTCAAAGTAGCAGTGGGATTTAAGAATTTCTCACATAAACTGCATAGTCGACAAACAGCATAGCCTTACAGGAGCCAGAGATGAATGGGTATCAAGTATTTGTAAGCAACGTGCACAGGCCTTGTTAAATTAAAACTCCCGATGACTTCTTGTAGACCATCTTAGCTTGCTTTCATGGCCAGGTCCTGAGTCCACGACTTTGGTTTTAGCGATATGTTCTCCTCAACACAGTTCCACCACGGAGAACAGTTTGGATACAAAGTTTATTGTTATGCAGTTTTCCCTGGATAACTAAATCTTCACCCTCAAATCAAAACACAGTTAAGATAACGAAGGCAAGTATATAGCCAAAGCTTCCTGAAAGTCTGCTTGAAACTGGCTCCCAGTTTGTCACTTGACCAAGCATACTTATCAATAAAAGCCAGTGACCTTGAAATTGATCAGATTAAGCCTTCAGGTCACCTTAATATTTAAAATGCTTTCTGATAATTGCCACAAAGCCTTATTCAATACAACAGCCCCGCTTCAAGGATGTCCTGTCAACTCCATGCCGACAGTCTTTCTCCGTGTTCCGTTGCTGGCTTTCTAACTGACTCTCCACCAGACTGCAATCAGAGTAATGAAAACAGTCAAACTGCTCATAAAATGTCACATTACTATGAGAGCACACATTATTTCTACAGATATTTTCTGTCAGTCACTAGATCACTACTCGAATGACAGCCGGGCCTGCCTGGAACACGCTTTCAAAATGACAGTGCCATCCCATAAAGACTACCCCAGCAGTAAAATTTACTGATTTGTGTCTTTGATCTCAGCCCACAAAAGATACCAAATGTTACTCAGGAATAAATAAAACATTTATAGAAAAGGGGAGAAAAGGTTATGTGCTTCATTTTGCTTATCAATGTCATTTCCAAGCCAACAATTTTATTAGGGGTAGGGGTATGGTGACATGCTATTTTTAGCTTGTGGGGGAGAAATGTGACATTTAGAACAAATGTCATAGCATTTCTTCAATAAAAATCCATGCTGTCAGCTGCGTGGCTCTAGAGAATTACAGAAAAGCTGTAGTGAACCAAAGGGGAAGCCACATCACTTGGTTTTTAGTTTAACCCCGTCAGCTCTAGTCTCAAGTGTGGGTGGGCAGTAGAACAGTTTTTGTGCATTGTGTGGCTCTGGGAGGCAGTCCCACATTTATACTCTGTGTGTCTTTGAAAAAGAACCTTTTCCGTCTACCAAGGAAATGACCCTGTATTCAGCCAGAAGCCCTGTGACCTGTTTTAGTCATTGAACCTTGAGGAGAAGCAATTTTTTCACAAACAAAAGAAGAACTCAAGTATCTACTAAAATAAACATTCCACTATGAAATTACTGCCCATAGACCACACAATAAACAGCAAAAATAGTAGGGGAAGCAACTCTTAGGCTTTAATACAAAAAAAAAAGAACATGTACTGAATAGAGTTCTTGGTTTGAAACATTTTGCCCTTATCTATTTTTTTTTTTTTTGGCAAATATACACATTCTACCATGAAATATCTCTGGGCTGTTATCTAATTTTTCAGGGACAAGAGTCATATCTTAGATTTCTCCAAAGCCCCCACACTGCCCAGCACAGTTCTTGATAAAAGCTATTGAACAATTGGAACATTGGTTTGAAAACCAGGGCTCGTATCTAAAGCTTTTTTGTTAACTCTCTGGCTCTCCCTAGCCTGCCCTCCCACCCCCGTGTGCAACACCACGGTTCTTCTCTGCCTTTGCCAGTTCAGGGCTCAGCTCCTCCTTGCTCCACTCTTGGGCTGTCCTGTAACCAACGACACTCTTTCAGAAAGCATTCTCATCATCTTTAGGAACATGGAGCCTGTGCCTTTTCTGCTGTTCTGTCTTTGGCCCCACACACACTTCTGGGCTTTGCTTGTGATCTTTGCTTTCCCTCCTGTCTCGGAAGTGAATCCACTCTTCCTTCAAGTCAGGTCTCTTGGAACTTGGCTGGAATTCTGTGCCATTGTGCCCACTAGTCCTGTGTCTTTGTCTTCCTGGGACTCCCTCCCCATTTGCTTCAGATGGACACAGTAAAAGTTAAAACCTGCTGTCCTCTCTAATCACCACGGATTTGCAGAAAATGAGTCTCCTGCTCCATTGTTATGGGAGGTAAGCCAAGTAGTAAGTGTATACCTTGTATATGCAGTTCTTTCTCTTAGATAGTTCCCAACTGCCAAGCCTAGCCAACAGGTAACCTACTCTATGTCACCTGCACAGACATTCAAGTAGCAAATGTAGTGGGTCGAGATCAGATGACGCATGACTGCTAAGAACCAACCTTGCTCTCAAGAGGTCCAAGCTGTGCTCTTCCTAGAGCTCGTAGTAGTTGAATCTCTCATTTTGAACTTCTGCTTATTTACTGGCCCAAATTATGAAGTTTTTTTTTTTTTTTTTTTTTTTTTTAAGATTGAAAGGCAGAGTTAGAGAGAGGCAGAGCCAGAGAGAGAGGTCTTCCATCTGGTGGTTCACTCCCCAAATGGCCACAGTGGCCAGAGCTGGGCTGATCCAAAGCCAAAAGCCTGGAGTTTCTTCTGGGTCTCCTGTGCAGGTACAGGGGCCCAAGGACTTGGGCCATCCTCTACTGCTTTTCCAGGCCATAACAGGGATCTAGACAGGAAGTGGAGCAGCTGGGACTCAAACCAGCGCTCATATGGGATGCTAGCACTGCATCCATTTTACCCACTATGCCATAGCATCGGCCCCTGAAGTATGTTTAGAAGAGAGTTCTTCAAATGTTCATGGAAAATGGAATTAAAAGATAAGTTTATTTTGGTGCAAAAAATTTTGATTCAGGAGCCAGCATTGTGGTGCAACAGGTTAAGCCACTACCTACAAGGCTCCCAGCTGCTCGGCTTCCAATTCAGCTCTCTGCTACTGCACCTGAGAAAGCAGCAGATGATGGCCCAAGTGCTTGTGTACCTGCCTCCCATGTGGGAGACCAGCATAGAGTTCCAGCTCCTGGCTCCAGTTTGGCTCAACCCAGCCATTGTGGTCATTTGGGAAATAAGCCAGCAGTGGAAGATTCATATTCTCTCATTCCCTCTCCCTTCTCCCTTCTCCCTTCTCCCTTCTCCCTTCTCCCTCTCCCTTCTCCCTTCTCCCTTCTCCCTTCTCCCTTCTCCCTCTCCCAACTGCCTTTCAAATAAATAAAGTAAATCTTAAAAACCTTTTTGAAATCCATGTATATTTTTTTGTACTGCATATTTTTCATGAACTTTTTGAAAATACTTTGTGTATAATATACTTAAGTATAATATACTTAATTGAGTATAATTGAGTCATTATAATACTCAATAATACTGGCCGGCACCGCGGCTCAATAGGCTAATCCTCCACCTTGCGGCGCCGGCACACCGGGTTCTAGTCCCGGTCGGGGCGCTGGATGCTGTCCCGGTTGCCCCTCTTCCAGGCCAGCTCTCTGCTGTGGCCAGGGAGTGCAGTGGAGGATGGCCCAAGTCCTTGGGCCCTGCACCCCATGGGAGACCAGGATAAGTACCTGGCTCCTGCCATCGGATCAGCGTGGTGCGCCGGCTGCAGCGCACTGGCCGCGGCGGCCATTGGAGGGTGAACCAACGGCAAAGGAAGACCTTTCTCTCTGTCTCTCTCTCTCACTGTCCACTCTGCCTGTCAAAAAAAAAAAAAATACTCAATAATACTCAATAATACTCAATTACCATAACACATTTTGAAGGCAATTTTCAAAAATAGCATTTCTTTTCCTGTGACAGAATACACTACACACAGGGCCCCTTGGTCACTCATCCACTCTGCTGTGCAGCTCTGAGGGACACAAGGCCCATCCTAGTGTAGGTGGCCTTGCACACTGGGGATCCTGAAATATTTTCCTTTGACTCAGAATTCCAGCAATTTCTGAAACAATAATCCATCTTCCAAAATTTATTTTGAGCCTTTTCTCTCTCCTACTCATGTGAATCCCTCCACTTTATAAAGCCACGTGAATAATTCATTTTCACCAGTTCAGAAGTAGGTGATACTTTAGAAGCTAATTTTTATGTGAATTAGATATATATGATTTAGAAATTTGTATGTGCTTCCAATTATATTCTTAATCTGTTTTCTCTAATCATGTTTTGACATGACTTTTTAACACTTGTCATTTGTATTGACAACCTAATTGGCAGGGTGAAGGTATGTGATTTCTCTTCTTAAAAAAATCATTAAGTGTTGTCATTTCTAATCATGAATTTCAAAATACAAAGAAAAAGAGTGACTTCCATATGGATTTGTTTAAGACTTTAAAGAATTAAGCTAATTTCCTTTGAAATTGCATCGCTTCTGCCTCTATGCTGAAAAGTAACTGAACATATGTTACATCTGCTCTGTTATGGCAGCTGTTTAATTATCAATCGTAATATTTTATATTAATTGTAATATAGAACATCTCATCTTCATATTTGTATGTACATATAGAGAGAAAGGGTCCTTCTCTTAGCAAGCGACAGAGTTTCTCTTGTCATAGGAGAAGCCTGGTTTTGTCTAGGAAACTCCCTTCATAAAAAGTTCAGAGCAGGGGTAGGCGTTGTGGTGCAGCATGTTGAACCACTGGTTGGGATGCCCGTGTGCCCCATATTGGAGTGCCAGTGCGGGTCCTGCCTGTCCACTTCTGATCCAGCTTCCTGCTAATGTTACTAGGAGGCAGCAGGTGATGGCCCAAGTACTTGAGTCCCAGCCACCCACCTAGGGGACTCAGGGAGTTCTGGGTACCTGATTTCAGCCCAGCTCAGCCCTGGGTGTTGCAGGCATTTGAGGAGTAAACCAGTGGATGGCAGATCTCCCTTTGTGTCTCTCCTGGCCTGTCACTCTGCCTTCCAAATGAATAAACAGATCTTTTAAAAGCTTTTAAAGAAGTGAAGTTCAGTTGCTGAAGGAAGAAACCTGAGAGCATGAGTTAGAGAGAAACATGGCTATGGAGGAAAGGTGGAAAACTGGAATATTCTCTCAGCATCGAGAAAGAACTCTGAAAGGGAGAAACTGAAACAGTTTTGGGTTGTTTGCCTCTTCCTGTGTACACTTGATCACAGAACTAAGAAGACCAAAACAGGGAGCCAGCTAGGACATGAGAACGCAAGTCCCTGGATGTTTAAAGTCATTTGGAGAAGGGCAGGGAGGGAGGTTGGAGCTGCTCTCCCTGGGCTAGGGGACAGGGGACCCCGGGTGACATCTGGATCTCACGAGAGGCGTGCCTGACTTTGATTCCCACCTTTGCTGTTACTAGTCATGCGTTACGTTCAAGAGCTCCGTTTCCCATGCATTAGGAGTTACTACTGCTAGGAGTAGAAGCTGCCTGACTTTGATTCCCACCTTTGCTGTTACTAGTCATGCATCCTGAAGAAAGACAGTTAATCACTCCATGCCTGTTCCCTCAGCCAGAGAAATGGAAGGATAAATGTTACTTTTCTCAATGAGCTGTCTTGGTGATTAAATTAACACACAGGAAGCAATTGGAGAAATGTTTGCTCTGGATACACGCCATACAGATCACCCATATTCATGGAAACGTACATGATAGAAGATGCGAGTTTGCTTTTTATATGTTTACTTTAAACTTAATTACAAAGAAGTCATACATCTAAAATCCATTCCACGAATTCAAAAGTGGCTTGGTATCCCTTCCTTCTAGTAAGTTAACTCTCCTTTAAATGTGAAGTATTTTAAACCCCAAATAAGTAAGTCAATCAGTGAGTAATCTATTATCTGTATACCAGAACTTTATTGAACTCCTTATAGCATGATGTCTTTACAAAAACCAAAATTTTAATCAAAGTCTTGATATATTTTTCAGTCCTTATGCATTTGCTCTTTGGAGGGAAGAATGTATTGTTTCTAAAGCAGAGTTGGAACTAGGACTCATTAGACATGTTAAAAGTTTTAGTCATTTGACTCCTGTCTACACGAAATGGAAAAGTAAATTACTTTGTAAAAGTTGTTAAGCTTCAGTGGTGGCTAAATGCAATACTGCATAAAATATTAAAACACATGGATGATGACATGATTTTAAGGCTGTAATTACTGCATGTTTTGATTGCTTCCATTCGAAACCCTTAGGCCATTTACCGCTGACCAATTTTGGTTATGTTCATTGGAATTGTTTACCATATTGATTACAATATTTCTAGAAACTCATTTTGATAAATACTGTGATTCAGATCCTCATGATCACTTAGAAAACATGTGGATTTAGATCTTTAAATATTGAGGACACTTTTTTTCCCTAAACAATTGTTTGAATCTAGCCTTAATCCAGAGTGACTGCATTTATAATTAGTGTGGAGGTGGTAGATAACCTCTAGATGCTGTCGTATTTAGTGGTGACTCCTGTTGTAGTTGGGAGTGGACTTTTGAAATGAAATACTCCGTTTCACTCCAACCAAAGCTAGAAATGGAAGCAGTAAGTAAAGGCAAAAGGAAGGAGGGGGCCGCTCTAGGTGGTAGGTCCGAGAGGGCTTGGCTCCGAGGAGTGGGTGGAGAAGCCCGGGCCCCCACACAACATCCCCTCCCATCACCACACCTCTCATTTTCCATCTCAAGACAGAGGAAGCCATGTAAGAGCAGGAACTGTGCTTGCTGTGTCCTCAGTATCTCAATGCGTATAGAGGGCTAATGAGTATTGAATGAGTGACTTAACTCTCTTAAAAGTCGCTGTGTGATTTGGCGATCATTCGTTACGTTCAAGAGCTCCGTTTCCCATGCATTAGGAGTTACTACTGCTAGGAGTAGAAGCTGATAAAATCTGAGCAAGGCGGCCGGACAGTGTGTACCGAGTCCTTCCAGGTGTGCTGAGGATGTGTTGTGAAGAAAATCATAGATCAGAGAAAAACATATATTAGTGAGGATGTTCCTTGCAGAACCATTTAATAAAGTCTTAAAGAACAACCTCAATGTCCAGTAATGGATGACAATATGCTTTATTCATATGCTATAATGCCAGGCAGTCAATAAAACCACATTATATAAGAATATTTAATGATGGGTGATATTCATTTATATAGCAAAAAATATGCTATTTCAAAATAGCATATATATAGTATCAGTTTTATGAAAATAGTTATAACCCATTTGCTTAGAAAAATAGGCCTGATAAAATATGAGAGTACTTAAAAAAGTATGTGGAAAATGGAATTAAAAGATAAATTACCTTGATAAAAATATTTTTAAAAAGATTTATTTATTTATTAATTAATTTGAAAGGCAGAGAAACAGAGAGGCAGAAGCAGAGAGAGAGAAATCTTCCAGCCGCTGGTTCACTCCCCAGATGGCCACAATGGCCAGAGCTGGGCCGATCCAAAGCCAGGAGCTTCCAGGTCTCCCACTTGGGTGCAGGGGCCCAAGGACTTGAACCATCTTCCACTGCTTTCCCAGGCACATTGGCAGGGAGCTAGACAGGAAGTGGAACAGCCGGGACTTGAACTGGTACCCATATGGGATGAAGATACTGCAGGCGGTGGCTTTACCCACTATGGCACAGCGCTGGCCCAGATGAAAAAAAATTTTTGAAGTCCGTGCATATGAGTGCTGTTCAAAAAGTTTATCGAAATGCACATTTTGACAAAGCTATGCATGAGTTCAAAATATTTTGTCCAAAGTAAACTTACTTTCATTTTTGCATGAACTTTGTTTTTTAATTGAATTATTTATTTGAAGGGCAGAGTCACAGAAAGAGAAGAAGAAACAGAGAAACACAGCGAGAGAGAGATCTTCTGCCTACTGGTTCACTTCCCAAATGGCTGCAATAAGCCAGGGACCAGAGGCTTCTTCCAGGTCTCCCACGTGGTTACATGGACCCTCTGCTGCTTTCCCAGGCGCATTATTAGCAAGAGAAAGGATAGGAATTGGAGCAGTAGGACTCGAACCAGCACCCATATGGGATGCCAGGTTGCAGGCAGCAGCTTAATCTGCTACACCACAACTCCAACCCCTCCAGGACCTTTTGGAAGTACCATCATATAAACTGTAAAATTATCAGGAGTTACCTGTAAGTCACAGAAGATCAGGTGATTATATTTTCCTCTTTGTGCCTTTCTGTATTTTTGAAAAAATGTCAAATAGGCTTTTATTTGTTTTGTGAAGAAGGGAGGGAGGGGAGCACGGGAGAAAGGAGAGTTTTTCCAGTGCCATTTTGTAGACTGATGGGCCAAACCCGACTGTGAGGAACTGAAGCGGGC